ATTGAGTGGGTGAGCGAAGGAGTGAGTGGGTGAGCGAGGGAGTAAGTGGATGGATGAGGGAGTGGGTGAGTGAGCAAGTGAGGAGTCGGTGGATGAGGGAGTGAGTGGGTGAGTGAAGGAGTAAGTGGGTGGATGAGGGAGTGAGTGGGAGAGTGAGGGAATAAGTGGATGGATGAGGGAGTGAGTGGGAGAGTAAGGAAGTAAATGGGTGGAGGAGGGAGTGAGTGGGTGAGCGAGGGAGTAAGTGGGTGGACGAGAGAGTTAGTGGGTGAGCGAGGGAGTAAGTGGATGAGCGAGGGAGTAAGTGGGCAAGCAAGGGAGTAAGTGGGTGGATGAGGGAGTTAGTGGGTGAGTGAGGGAGTAAGTGGGTGAGCGAGGGAGTCAGTGGGTGGACGAGGGAGTAAGTGGGTGAGCGAGGGAGTGAGTGGGTGGACGGGGGAGTGAGTGAGTGGGTGAGCGAGGGAGTAAGTGGGTGGACGAGGGAGTGAGTGGATGAGCGATGGAGTGAGCAGCTGGATGAGAGAGTGAGTGGGTGAACGAGGGAGTGAGTGGGTGAGCGAGGGAGTGAATGGGTGGACGAGGGAGTGAGTGGGTGAGCGAGCGAGTAAGTGTGTGGACGAAGGAGTGAGTGGGTGAGCGGGGGAGTGAGTGGGTGAGCGAGGGAATAAGTGGGTGGACAAGGGAGTGAGTGGATGAGCAAGGGAGTGAGTGGATTAGTGAGGGAGTAAGTGGGTGGATAAGGGAGTAAGTGGGTGGGCGAGGGAGTAAGTGGGTGGACGAGGGAGTGAGTGGGTGAGCGAGGGATTAAGTGGGTGGACGAGGGAGTGAGTGGGTGAGAGAGGAAGTAAGTGGGTGAGCGAGGGAATAAGTGGGTGGATGAGGGAGTGAGTAGGTGAGCGAGGGAGTGAGTGGGTGAGTGAGGGAGTAAGTGGGTGGATGAGAGAGTGAGTGGGTGGGCGAGGGAGTAAGTGGGTGGACGAGGGAGTTAGTGGGTGAGCGAGGGAGTAAGTGGGTGAGCGAGGGAGTGAGTGGGTGAGTGAGAGAGTAAGTGGGCGAGTGAGTGATTGTAACAATAGAATTCCGATCTTGATCCGATTCCTGGTGTTAAGTTCTTGCCGTGACATTACAAAAGACAATAAACATCTCAAAGTGATTTCAGTGTCACACCGATGCATTATTTAAATAAAAACTTTCCTCAGAAACATCTCATTAGAAGTGATTTGCACATCATGGAAGCTTTGACGAATTTTTTTTTCTTTGAAAAGATACCATTTCATAGTTTGAACAGCGACTAATGCCGAAAAGAGCCGTTAAATTTGCGAAGTGATCAAGCTGCGAAATTCTTAGTGTCACATAACGCTATCAAAGTTTAGAAAATAAGGAATCATCAAACCTTTTAAGATTTTATTTAAGTTAGATATTAGAACAGCTGATAAAGTTTCGTCCAGTGATAAAGCAAGGTTGAATTTCTAAGCTTTTGCTTGACACGGTATTAAAATGGCGGCTGAGAATGATGTCACTTAGG